GAATTTAACTCCGAGTTTATTTGCGCAATCAACCATCTCTTTGAGGTCAGATTTTAATTCACTTCGTTTGGGGTGCCACCTTTGTAAGAACATATTCTTATGTGACCCCTGGACAACGTTTGATGTACTGAGGTCATGCTTAGCTAGTCTAGCGTCGGCTACGTAGCACCATGCAGCTCGCTTTGCCTGATCAAGTTCAAGGTAAGAGCGGAGCTTCATGACTTGTATGGCTTGATTACGCGCAGTCAAGTCAAACATATTTTTTCCCCCAGATGCAATGGGGGCTGTGAGCATATCCCGATTGACGGGGGAGGACTTCCTGCCGCTCCACATAAAGGATCTTTGTATGCCTATTAAGGCCTTCTCAATGGATTTCGGCATCCCATTGACTTGTGTTAGATATTGAGTCATAGATCCTATAGTCATTTGGATTATGTGGCGGCGTAATTCGAGGGTGGGGTGGCCCCTCTCCCATCTCTCGAGGTTTGCTGCTACTTTCTCAACAGTTGGGGTCCAGACAGAGTGTATGTCGACGTTATTCCCAATCCTAGCCCCAAGAATTCGCACAGACTCTCCATCCTTGGCAATGTTCACAGTTTCTGGGATTTGAATATCGTTTCCATTCAATTTTCGGGTGTTTATGACTTGTTCTCGGAACTCAGGGGTTCCGATGGGGATTATCTCCGTTTTTCTGGTATTGAATTTGGCACTAGAAGCTCGACACCACTTGGCTAAAATTTCCTCGAGATCCGCCCACCATAGAGGGTTCTCTTTCGAGGCCCACCTCTTCCCCATGGACACGTAGGCCCCCCATCTTTGCCTTCAAGGGTCTTATTTTTGCCCCGGCAGTGGGAATTCGTCGGGTAAGAGTCAGCAGGAATCAACTTAAGCCTGTACACCGTTTCAGATGCACAAACCGACAGAGGATTTAGTACTCTCCAGCCATGTGGGGCTACTAACCTCCACACGCCACGGCCCGCCACCCACCGACTCTAGGGCAGTTTCCCGTTGCCTCCCTGGCTGCTTCGTTTGAGGACTGGTACCTCGTACGGATCCGCATCCATGGAGACTCTCTGTCTTGCCGCCGAGACGACTAACCACCGCGCACATGGAGCGAACAAGGTGCGAGGCGTGGGGTGCCCTGAGACCTGCCGGTCTATTCGGGTGGTTTTGATAAGCAGTCCCCCATCTTATTTTCGCCTATCCACAAGGGACCCTGCACGGGGTTTGGCAAAAATAGTTTTAGGTCATTTCGGACTGCCAAGATGAGCTGTGACTGAGTCGCCACATGCGAACCTGCTTTACCAAGGCAGGACTCAACAGCATAGTTTTAACGTCATTTCGGAACGTGGAGCGTGGCACAGACCAACATCACTCCCCCAGATTGAACCAGAGGGGACTCCATTTGCGTGTCGGGCACTTCAGTGACCTCGGGCTCTCCCGGCGAGTTATCGTCACGCCTGACGAAGCCGTTACAAAGTTCGACCCGCCTGAGCAATATCCGGCGAGCCCGCCACATGTCGTAACCCTACCCCGGATTTTACTCGAGAAGGACAGAACCGTGATCGGGCAGAAGACTGTTTCCTCCCGTAGAAAATGCTCAAGGCATTCTGTGCGTGCGGTATGTCGAACGTTTTTAATGTCGACAAAGAGGAATAGCAGTTAGTACCAGTATGAGACACAGCTCTCCTGATAGAACAAGCATGGTGTCGACCAGCAGGAAAGTTCCGAGAGAAACCTGTTCGGAGCTGGACTCAGAAAGGACGAGGACACCATGCAGGATAGTTTTCGGTCTTTTCGGACACATTCCCCAAGCGCGTGATGGCCGGTCACTGAATGCCCGAGAACCGGGGCAGCTGACGTGTCCCATCAAGCACAGCCCCGGAGTGAGTCGACCAGCAAGCACCAGAGAGACGGCGAAGGCCCCAGCGCGAGCAGCAGGAAGTAGCCCAAGAAAAGAGGACGAGATGAGTCCTGTACGTATGCTTGGACATACTATTCTAAGACCCGCACCAAAATCACCGAGAACTTCACAGAACAAGCCTGTCGAAGAAACGATGGTGGTGGTACGGATCAAAGAAGCCCCCCCATCCATATTCAATTTCGCTCCATCTCCTCTGACACTGACCCAGACTGCCCGAAATCGAAGCCGAGGATCAGAGCAAGCTTCTATCTTTGCTCGAGAGTAGTCATCCCCTGGTTCAAAAGGCAGCGGCGCAGATTATTGCTCATCTCTCCATAAATGGTGAGCTCTTTCATACGTCCGTTTCTATTTCAAACCTCTCAATCCTTACCATAGAGGAGTTCAGACGCCACGTAGTTATCCCAACCAAGTGCGAACTCATCCTCTCACCACTGCTGAACGGACCCGATACCACAGAAGCCGCTACAACAATGCTGGTTGCGTTTGCTAAAAAGGCACCGAAGCAGACACGAGATTTAAAAACAAAATTACTTGACGAGTTGCTTGAAGCTATGGAAGAAGACGCACAAAACTTTAGTCGTTGGCAGGCATCTGTGAAACGCTTGTTTTCGCTGGGACTTTTTTGAATTGGATCGGATACAGCATTCTTCAGTTGGCTGTCTCACTTGACAAATACGTTTTTGCGCATGGAATGAGGTAGGGGGTTTGCTTGAGATGGATGTGTTGAGGGATCAAGAAATATCGCAAGGGTTATTTGCCTATGCAGAGTTCCGCCAGAGCGAGGCTCAGACAGACCCCCGCCGGCGGGGCTGATGATGCCCGAGGAGTGAGACGAGGTGGTTTGCGGTACTCAGGCGTAGAGAGAATTGGTCGAGTAGAATCCAGAGCATATAAATGGCCAAACGAACACAGACCATATCATTCGACTCGGTAAGCACAAGGAAACCTGAAACCGGTATGGACTGCTGCAACGAAGAGCTCGAATTTGCTTTTCTGGAAGAAAAAATCATGATGAGGGGGAAGGGCAAAAAATAAACCTTACTATACAGGACCCAACCTGGAGTCGAACCAGGAACCTCCACAATAACGTTCGGTTCATGGATCCCTATGTAGCACGGACGCGATCCGCTCGCCATTGGGTCTTATCTCATGTGGCTGGATGCATGGTTTTACTATGGGTAATTTTAGTCGAATTGGACGCGTCGAGGAATTCAGGAATTTTCAGCCGAGGAATTATTTGCCAAAGGAAAGATAATATCGGTGGGGGCCTTGATGCACTGAGGATTTTTCCACGTGGACGCCAGCGCCTCAAACCCCCGTTGCCGAGGATGCCCGAAAATTAGGGCATCAAACCGTACGTATTACGCCCACGGGCGTAATAATTACGGCGTATTTTCCGAGACTGTGTCAAGCCTGTCGACGGTACGGGGACGTAACCGTTTTTACGGGCCGTCTGTCCGTAAAAATACGGGACGGTTTGATGCCCTACCGAAAATTGAGGAAAATTGAGACGACGTGGGTTGTGCGGGGTGCAGAGAGAAATGCCCATAAAGCGGTGAGCTCGCCAAAAGAATGCAGACGAGATCATTCGAGCCACAAACACAGAGGAAACCTGGGGACGTGAGAGTTGCGTGAGAGTCAAGAGAAAGCCGGAGAGACATTTACGTCACAGTGACCGTCACAATCAAAACCACGACCGCTCCGACATCGACCCCGACAACGACAAGATGGCTCTCCTCGTCACCCCCGTCAATGCCTAAAGCGTCACTCTGTCCCCGCAGCGCCACCCTCGTCCCCAACGCGACACGTCCTATCTTATCGTGCTCATTTCTGGGTGGCGCGAAGGGCATGACGCTGTATGCCTACATCCAAACGCAAATCCCAGCGCAGGGTGTAGATCCGCCAACTCCGAGCGAGCATGACGCTGTCGAGCTCGTGCAGTACCTGGGCACTCCGCATCCGCCTCAGGCTGTAAGCCACGCCGTTCTCCCCCGCCCCCACATCCGCCACCGCCACCGGATCAGCCTCCTCCCGCCGCGCGCCATGCGTACCTCGGCGCCAAGCTCCGTGCTGCGCAAACGCTCCTCGAGCGCGGCGGCGAGGGTGTCAATGTCGCCACGAAGGTATACATACACGAGTTGGAGAAGACGCAGAGCAACGCGTGGGCGATGGCGTGCCATGAGTGATTGTGCGCGGCGGCACATTTGCGCGGACTGAATTTGCATCCGACAGCGGCAATTGTAAAATGGCTGTCTCCCATCCGGCGCGGGCGCATACGACACAAGCTACACCTTCAACTTGCGCGGTAGCTATCCACCGCAGCGTTGCCTTTACCTTCGCGCCGACATTCACTTTCTCAGCCCGCCCGTTTGGATTTGCGGAGCCGAATTCCCGCGGTACATTAAGTCGCGCATGTAGGCGTTCGAGGTCGGGGCCCATTTCCACTGCACATACTTAGGCATGCACACTTACACTTTCTATCGCTTCACCGTGCCTCGATGCCTCGGTCGGATTGGCATTTTCGGGCGGCGCGTCCAATACGCGTCGAATTCAACTCATTCAACTCGCGTGGACGTAGCTGTTGGTTCACCCCTACTTACAGTTATTTTCACGACGCGTGCGTATGCTTCGACATTTTTTTGACCCGCATTCCCATTACTAAAATGTTTTCCTTGCGCATTTGCGCGTCTGTGGCAACATTCTCTCCGCGCAGGTAGGTACCAGCTTGTTTCTGCTCCTATTGCAATCCGATTCGGTAATCGGGGCGGGGAGGCGAAATGCGTTCGTTCTGGGTGGATGCGGATGCGTCGGATCCGATTTCTGGGACTCGCTGCGTACGCGACGGCTCCTGGCGTGAACTGGAAGGTAATTTCTATTTGTCATATGTTCTGTGTCAAAGTTGCTGCATTTGTGGCAATTTGCTGGCTTTCCCGGAGAGTTGATGGTACTGGTCCTCATTTTCATTCCGAAGTTCCGGACTCAGAGGGAACGGAAGCGTAAAGTATATTCAACGGAGACTGAAAGGAATATAAAATACTGAGTCCAAAGGGCGGTAAAAACATTAATCGCGAACGAATGACCCAACCTGGAATCGAACCAGGAGCTCCCGCTGCATTGCTCTACGCCGTTAGATGAAACGGGGTCGATACCATTCGCCATTGGGTCTCTTTTCACTGTGTTGAGCCTGATTTTGAACGAGAAGTAAACTGAGATGGGATGAGGAGTCTGGCCGTTGCGGGCACGGGAAGCGCCGCTTCGATATTTGGATTCAAAGTCAATTCATACCAAGTCCGCCCGGGCCTTTCGACATCGATAGTCATGAGTGCTAACCCTTCGTTCCAGCTATCGCAATTCGGATTATAGAGGGCAAAAAAAATCTAGTATTACCCTGGTAATACGCAGCCTGGGGTCGAACCAGGAGCTTCCACCCGCTGCCTCGTGGTATGTCCACAAAGAAATGAAGGTGGAGCGGGCGCGATGCCCTTCGCTACTGGGACTCTTC